CAACCGCCCCCTCAAACCTTTTCTGTCAAAAAAACGCTTTGATGTGCGTTCATTTAAACTTATGTACAGTAGTACGACGTGATATAATTTTTTAATAAAAATGAGTATTTTGTCTTCTATCTGATGGGTTTTATTTTCCATCTTTGTCTCTCTTTCTCTCTCTCTCTTTAATAAGCTAGAAAGAGGTAAATAGACCTCGCAAAAGCGATCTTGAATCTCGGAAACGATCGAATGAATGATTTAATAATAATTTTAACCTTTGATGATTTTATTTATAACCCATTTCGGCTCTTAATAAATAGCCTTGTTCAGAAAGAAAATCATCTAGGAAAAGTACAGATTTATTTATTATATATATTAATTTTTAATTTTCTGTGCTCTTTAATTTGAGATCTAAGCAAATTCAAACGGATGTTCGGTCAAGAAGTTATGAATCTTGTACGAAGGGACACGAAAACGGCTTCATTCAGCTAAAAATTCAAAATTTTCGAAATTCGAACGAAAAACTTTTACCCATACGCGTGAAAGATAGAGCAGACTCTTCTGAATCGAACAAGACAAACCGCAGCCTCAGACGACATCGGAAACCAAAGCTAGACTCATTTTGATTAGACGTACTGTTTGGCGCTAACACGTACACTATCGCTTTTCGCAAAAGCGCCTTTTATAATGAAAAATCAAAGTTTTGCCCCTTTTTCTCCCAGACGCTTCGACCGATTGAGCTGCAATTCCTTTTTTGTGGCAGCCAGGACCAAATCGGAGTGTATATGTTTTTTCCTTTGAAAAATATTGTACTGGTGATTTTTGGCAGACTTTACAAAATTTGCCTAAGTAAAAAAACACGTTTTTGGGCAGGGCTTCCAGTATTTTGGTTCTCCTAAGCGAAGGAAACAATATTCTTCAAAGAAAAAAAATACACACCCAGATTTGGTTCTATTAGCGGTTTTTTGAAAAAAGGTTACTCAACCCCAAAAATAAATTTTTGGTATCACAAGTCACTACTGTTACCTCAGATTTTTATTAAGACAATTGGACCTTCGACCGGTTTCGGGGGGTTTAGGACCTTTTTTCTGTCTAACACTGAACCATTTCAGGTTTGATTATATTTTAAAAAAGGTCTAAAAAGGGACAGTTTTCGTTCTCTTGCACGATCGTATTCATACGAAAGAATTTTTCATTCGAAAATTACCTTAAAACTGTAAAGAGAGATTAGATTTAAAGTGGGAACTGATTAATATCTTTGTGATAAGCGTAGCATTTGAATGACAAGGAAAGGATATCATACTGGTATATATTGTAGAGCACAGACTTTTAAGTACAGTCTCTTGTCTTTAAGGTATATCAGAACTGTAACAATGACTCATCAAATGCCTGAAAGGGAAGAGAATGAAATCAAAAAAGTTCTTTCTTGTCACACACGTCGTTTTATATAAGCATTGAGATATACAATACATTTTTTTGTTTTGGAACTTCTAAAAGAAAATTACAAATATTATTTAAAAAATGGGTTAGGAAGTTGTCCTTTTTGAACGTTTCGAACCCTGCTGAGTATTCCTGTTTTCATATTTTTTGTTTGTCATTTTTATTCTTTGCCAGAGAGTTTTTTCTCTATATATACAGACTGACGAAATACGCGGAAAAAATCCAGTAAAAAGAACCTTTGTAACACTTAAAGTTGGTTTAAAATCAAAACACCGACAAAAACGACGTACGAATATTTAGATCCAAGATCATTTTCTCCTACTATATTGGGCGGGGCGAAATGTTGTTTTTGGAAGAAACCTTCGTTGACTTTGAGGCGGTAGTGATGATGGTGCAATAACGCCTATGTCTCTTTCCTATATTACTGCACATGTTCTACTCCCATTTTAAATCACAAATTTTCATTTGCATTTCACTCACATTTTAAATGGCCTAGGTTTGTGAATGCTGAGCGAGAGTATGACGCTTATCTCAATCAAACGTGAGTGAATTTCTCTACGTTAAAATATGACTTATTTAGTAAAAATCTATTTAGTAGTCATTTTTATGGATGTGATAAAACTGAAATAGTTAAGGGCACTCCTCTCCCTTTCCCCCGAACAAAAAGATTACTTAGGTCGATCTTGAGTTTGACACATTCCTATGTAGTCAAGACTGTGCTCTTTAATTTGAGATCTAAGCAAATTCAAACGGATGTTCGGTCAAGAAGTTATGAATCTTGTACGAAGGGACACGAAAACGGCTTCATTCAGCTAAAAATTCAAAATTTTCGAAATTCGAACGAAAAACTTTTACCCATACGCGTGAAAGATAGAGCAGACTCTTCTGAATCGAACAAGACAAACCGCAGCCTCAGACGACATCGGAAACCAAAGCTAGACTCATTTTGATTAGACGTACTGTTTGGCGCTAACACGTACACTATCGCTTTTCGCAAAAGCGCCTTTTATAATGAAAAATCAAAGTTTTGCCCCTTTTTCTCCCAGACGCTTCGACCGATTGAGCTGCAATTCCTTTTTTGTGGCAGCCAGGACCAAATCGGAGTGTATATGTTTTTTCCTTTGAAAAATATTGTACTGGTGATTTTTGGCAGACTTTACAAAATTTGCCTAAGTAAAAAAACACGTTTTTGGGCAGGGCTTCCAGTATTTTGGTTCTCCTAAGCGAAGGAAACAATATTTTTCAAAGAAAAAAAATACACACCCAGATTTGGTTCTATTAGCGGTTTTTTGAAAAAAGGTTACTCAGCAAACGCTTATAACTTTTGAAACGAGCTAGCGACCTGCGGTTTTCGGCAATCGAAAGAGGACATCAGGGGACACAAATGTATGCAAATTTCATTGTTGCAAAATATTCCTGTTTTGTTTTCGAAAAGATACATTGGAAACGTTTCAAAATGTTATTCAAAATTTTTATTTTTTTACTGCTCTAGTTAAGTGTGAAGCACTGTACACTCTAGCATGATTTCATACATTTCTCTTTTTATGACGTTGCGATATGACAGTTTCCCGCGAGAATCGGGAACGGGAACGTTAACAAAAGTTGACGTTTCCGAAAATCGTTTTGTTTTATTTTTATATGTATTGAAANGTTGCGATATGACAGTTTCCCGCGAGAATCGGGAACGGGAACGTTAACAAAAGTTGACGTTTCCGAAAATCGTTTTGTTTTATTTTTATATGTATTGAAATATGTTTATATAACAGCTTTTTATTTTCAACAACTATTTTTATACATATCACCGATAAAAAAAAATTAAAGTTTGTTTAGAGTTAAAGAAAAGTGCTTCTTCGTATTTAGCACACTCGATAACCTGGAAAATTTTCTATTTTTAGCGAGGGGTACCGCCAAAAAGTTTATTTCGAAAGCATTACTGGAACGGGAACAGGAACGAAGAAAAGTCGTTCCCGCAGGACACTATATGACAGCAAAAAATATAGTTCCTATTAGTTACTTACACGCAAATACCTACTCGGCAGGCGAATCATCAGAAGAATCATCTAAAAATCTTTTAACTAGACTTCTGCCTGAATCGTTCAAAAGTGAGAATTTATGTTTTCAAAATATTTATTAATGTTTTGGTAGATTATCAAACAATGAGAAAATCTATAGTTACATTTGAAAAATGTCGACATATGTTTTAAAGTCACTAGACAGCGCAGATGGGATTTGTAAACAAAGTTGTACAACAGTTTAATATTGGATTAGATGGTGTGTATGTTAATACAAAATTGGATCATGAAGTAGGTGATCATGACAATATGGCTTATGTTGAATTCCAAACACTTGATGTGCTCCCAGATGCTAAACATCCGTATGTATATTTTACATTATATGCAAAAAACAGTGTACAACGAACGAATGAACAGCAGACAACAATTAAAACTGAAAATATAACAGATGATAATCAACAAAATGATTAATCACGAATTTCAACAAGTTATAGTGAACCTTTTTTAAGTAGTGAGAATTCAGATGTAAGCATTAGTGAAGTCAACGATTCAATGAACTAGTGGCGTAACCAGGAACCCGTGGGTGGTAGGGCAGTGCCCCACGACCTTTAAAAAAATCCATCCACGGTAGTTTAAATTTTTTCCACAACTGAAATACAGTTGCTCAATTTTCACTTTCTTAAGAGAGAGTCAGATACAATCAAAATTCATGCAGGATCCCGCGGTTTGTCGGTATTAACATAACTGGCGATGTTTCTCACCTTTACGCAGGATTTTTATTCTGCCGCCCATGGGAAACAATCCTGTGTAAAGGTAAGAAACATCGCAAGACTTTTTAACTTATTCAATCCGCAAGTTTTTTTCCTACGAGATCTGGCAGGATTTTGTCTCCCATGTCGATCCCGCAATCTTTTCTCACCAATGTCTGTTCAGAGTGACCGTGAAGGAACTCGTCTGTATTTTCCATTTTTGGAAAGTTACGTACTTTCGCATCTTTTTCTTGTATAAAGTTATAAAAGCTTTTCTCGTGCCTAATAAACTTCTAGAAAACGTATACCTCAATATTCTGTCTTTAACACGCATTTTCATGTGTACAAAACCTAACTATTAATAGATAGGTGAAAAGATCCTTTTTATGTCAGGAATATTCTATTTTCTTCCATCAATATGAAATTAAAGTCATTAGAATGATCCCACTACTGTGAAAAAAAGGTGTATAGCCAAGGAGACATATCAGACTATTCTAATTTCTTCATTTTCGAATACTGTATTGAATGGTATATAATTTAAAAACTTCGGTAAAAGCATTGAGAAGTTGAGTTAATATATTAAGGTATACATTTTCCAGAATTTTATTGAACGAGAAAAGCTTTTATAACTTTACAAGAAAAGATGCAAAAGTTCTTAACTTTCGAAAAATAAAAATATAGACAAGTTCCGCCACGGTCACCCTGGATAGACATTGGTGAGAAAAGATTGCAGGATGCCGCAGGATAGACATGGGAGATAAAATCGTGCCAGATCTCGTTAGAAAAAATACTTGCGGACTGCCCTATAATAACTTTTCCTAGGAGACACTGTTTCTTTTCTCCAGGATAAAATGGTACAGATCTTGCAGGGTTTTCGTAGTGAGATATCTTGTGTATTACAAAAACTTCCGCAGGGTATGAACAGTGAAGAACCTGCGAGATATATCCGAGCAACCTATGTAAAAGCTCCGTGCCTAGAAAAGAACCCTCCAGGATTCTGCAGGAAAGAAATTTAAAAAGTGAGCATATTAAAGAATCCTCACCAACTTGCAGGAAAATTTTCGGCAAGATAACGTGATGTGAAAACCTGCAGCATATGTCCAACAATCACAGGATTTTTTGAGATTCCTGCGTTGACACGTAGCAATTTGTAAGCGTTTTTTCAGTGGGCATTCTCAATATAGTGTTCACTTGATCTGACTCAACAATTTTGTTTCGATTTGTGTTTAGTACCATAATCGACAACCTGCATTACCAAAGTTCAGTATACAGATAGAAGAAACTCTAAGAACTGGTAAGTACTGACTCATTTAAATGATTTTACGAATACTTCAAAAAGCGTTTTATTTATGTATGTTTCTCTTTAACTGAAGTCATATTAATGAATATAGTGATGAAAATTATCTACAACTTTTATTGTGATAACAAATTTCATTTCAAAAAGTATTATAGTGATTGCTAAGGCATTGAAAGTTAAATATGATATACCTGTTTTGACGTCTGTTGAAAATTCACTGGTAAGCACACTTCTCTTCTTTCATAGTGTACGTATAGCTTCAAAAAAAGAAGCTCATAGTCTATCCATAGCTCATATCTTTTGTTTTCGAAAAGATACTTGGAAACGTTTCAAAATGTTATTCAAAATTTTTATTTTTTTACTGCTCTAGTTAAGTGTGAAGCACTGTACACTCTAGCATGATTTCATACATTTCTCTTTTTATGACGTTGCGATATGACAGTTTCCCGCGAGAATCGGGAACGGGAACGTTAACAAAAGTTGACGTTTCCGAAAATCGTTTTGTTTTATTTTTATATGTATTGAAATATGTTTATATAACAGCTTTTTATTTTAGCTTCAAAAAACGAAGCTCATAGTCTATCCAAGCTCAAAACAGCATAAGGAGTTAAGCCAATTATTATTATTTTAGTCAATTTTGCGAAGAAGTCTGTCAAGAAAACCTTTATGGTAGTATATAAGAATTTGCACCGGCTTTTTTATTGTTTCTCTGTTGTACTATGTAAAATTTTTTGTTATTTTCTGTTTCCTTTTATATAGTTTCTCCCTCTCACCCTCTGTGTTGCTCCCATGTTCTTATACGTTTGTCTTTACATCGTGTTATATTTGTACAAATACATTGTCTTACTAACAATCACGATTAACAGAAATAGAAATTTAGTTCCACAAAATTGAAATAATATTGTTATTTCTGTTCTTCCACATAGAACTGTGTCTCATTGGATACGTTTAACATTTACTCGTCAAGTGTCCGAACAAAATGTGTCGCAATGTGTCAGAAATACGTCCAACACTGATTCGACTTGTATCTCAAGGTATTCCGACTCGATTGAGACATTTGACACACAGTTTTTATTAGAGTGAATAAATGACAAGATGGACAACTTTTGTTAAACGAACCGACTCATTTACTTGAGATTCATTCTTTGGTTATAGCGGAGAAAAACGGGAAATTTTGACATTATTGAGATAGAAACATTGTGTGTGCAAGACTTTCCTCTATTAATCTCATATTAAG